GTTGAGGATTTCTTAAAGTATAAAAACAATTCCACAAGTACAGTTGATAGTTTATTTTCAAGAAATGACTGGTCTTTATATTTACGTTCCAGTCTGCTCTTCCCACACCTTAGTCCTTTTCCAAGTCCGTTCATAGAACCTAATAAACACCTTATATACATACTAAGTACGTCTGGAAGTTTCAGCAAAGAACGGAAACTAGTTTGTGTGGCGGATAGTTGCTTAACAGCTAATGTTATTGACTTAGGTAATCGGTTCTCCAGTGGGAAACATCATGGCTCTGAGGCTAATTGTGTTCTTCTAGCTTCACCCTTGACGTTTGATCCGAGTATTGTACAGATTTACTTCGCACTATTGACCCGTCGTACCATAGTTATATGTCCCTCATCAATTCTCAATGTACCCAAAACCTTATACACGTTGTGCATGAACGCAAAAGTTGGTTGGCTGCAATGCACTCCAAGTCAAATCTCTGGGCTCGATCGTCGTCTCCTTAATAGGTTTTTGTCACAACGAAGTTTCCACGTTTTACTTGGTGGAGAACCATTCCCCTTAAATGATCTCAGGGGTTTTAAAAACAACAAATCTATCCTTTATAATATCTATGGTACTACAGAAGTCTCCTCGTGGGCCTCTTTGTTTAAAGTCAGTTCATTTGACAGAGATGGGATCAACAATGATATTCACTGCGAATGTTCGCCTCCTTTGCTTGGATCTACACCTCTTGGGTTTCCGATGCTAGGAACCAGTTTCTCACTAATACCATCCAATATGGAAAATGTTTGGGAATTGGGACTATCCCGTCAATATGGTGGGTTTTACATATTACGTCCCAAAGAGTCAACAATTACTATTCAGGAATTTTCCTACGCTCTTTCACAACTACATTCTCAGATTACATGGCCTACTTCTGATTTAGTGCATTACGGTCAATGTGGGAGGTGTTTATGGTTTCTAGGTAGAAAAGACCGTACAATAAAACGGTTTGGATACCAAATTTGCCTAGAACGTTTAGAACATGTCATAAAAACGTGCAAACCACCAAGCCTCAAGATCAGAAACTGTAGATGTCAGGTTTTTGAAAGATCAACTAATCGAAACTCCATCATTTCATTCATTGAAATTGAACTTTATTCCCATAAATTTTCTAGAAGACCTTCAGTATTTCCAACTTACAGCTACACAAAAAACACTAAATCTCATATCCTTAAAAGACTCAAGTTGGTTTTCGCTCCGAACCATCAACCCTGGATTCCCACACATTTTGTATTTTCTAATCGCTCTCTACCGATTTCATTACACGGAAAGTTAATGTATAGACTACATAACGTTTTTAAATCTTCAATGTCCGTCAAGTACAAAGTTATTGCCATGTGGAATGAGTCTCTTGGGTTAGGCAGAACGACTGTAACTCATTGGGATGCAACATTTATGGAGGCCGGTGGTTCCTCTTTAATGGCATTGCACCTAGTTGAAACAATAATCCAAGAATTTCCAGTCTTGATCAATAAGAGGGAAAATCTTGTATCACTAATATTCGCGCATTCATTTTTCCGTGTTTGTGAGTTTATTTCAAGATGTTGCTCTATTTCTATGAAGTCCAAAACACGTTTTTCAAAATCCATTTCAACCAAAAAAGTTTATCAAAGCAAATTTGAAAATGAATTCCAAATGACTGTTAAACATAATTACCAACATCCATTTGATATTTACACACATGGTTCTGTATTGAAGCTGCCTGATTTATTACCCCAAACCCAATTTAAATTTTTGTGGCAACATAATCTGCATAAGTGTGTAGACGCTTCGCCTTTAGTCCTTTCTGGTGTTCATGGGTTTTCCAATGGGTGTGCTTTCATCGGAAGTCACTCCGGTTCGGTTTCTGCTTTGTATGTATCGAATGGCCACACAGTATGGCCGAACGCAACAGTGTCACTACCAGGTCGTATCGAGGCCTCTTCCACACTTGGATTCGCAGGTTCAAGTGCTGTACTTGTTGTTGGGTCCTTAGATGGGAGTATTTATGGTTTGGATATTGAGTGTGGAATTTCTCTGTGCTCATATTACACTGGGGGCGCCGTTAAGTCTCCTGGATCGTATGTATATGATTACAGTTTTCTAGCATGTGGTTCCCATGGCAAACTAGTTCACGCCATAGACTTACGTTCTCTCAATAATATGAAACCTATTTGGACTAATTCTTTTGATGGAACACCCATTGTTTCTCCCGTTATTGTGTCAGATATGTCTCAGACGAGCACACCATATCTTATTATTGCAAGTCTTGGAGGAACTGTTGGTTGTTTAGATCCTAGAAATCCATCACATTTGGTTTGGATAAGAGATGCAAAAATGCCTGTTTTTAGTAAACCTCTTCTATATATGGACTCTAGCTACAAGGTTAATGTTATTATAGCTGGAGTTAGTGGGACCATTCAATCATTTTCTCTGGTGGATGGAAATATTGATTGGAATTATGAATGCTCTCAAGAACTAAGTGGTCATGCAATATTTTCAGACCCCGTTCTTGATGCGCAGTCTCACAATGTTATTCTGAGTACTAATAAGGGCTTCTTATTCGCTTTGAACGTTGTAAATGGCAATTTAGCATGGATGCTTGACTGGACATTTGATTTAAACTCCAAAAACCTATGCTCCTTAAATACACCTTCTTTATTGCAAAGCGATAGACACAGTTTATTGATTGGAACAAGAGCAGATGGTTTGGTTTACGGGTGTTCAGTACCTTCGAGTCTATCTGTCCGACGAAAAGCTCCTACTGTATGGTCGACTTACCACCTACCCAACCAGTGTTTCTCATCTCCAGTTCTTTATTCCGAAAACTCAAATGATGTATATATTATCACTGGATGTAGAGATAATTATGTTTACGGTTTATCGTTGTAAACTCTTCTTTTCTATTGTAGAAATCACATCACCCAAACAGTTTATACTTTCTATTTATAAATTATTTTCAGAATAAAGATGATAGTGGCTTTCTAGTTTTGAATGTTTAATACAATGCGGAACTCTTAACGTACTCTGTGACAACTATACATAAAATAAGTAGATAAAATTATATTCATTGAAATAAAATTTGTATAAATTATTATTAGGAAGTGATTTCTGTTTGCTTATAAGTTAGTTTCCTTAAGAGTACCAATCACGCTTTCATATCTCTCTGAAAAATAGCAACAAATAAATTTGTCGTTGTTCTAGATTAAATTTATGATTACGGCCATATATTTCCGAATTCATCGCCAAATCGTATTTAGGTTAGGTGTATCATGAAAAATTATTCCTTTAAAATTCCATGCGAAATATAGAACTTATCTTGAGTTAGTGCAAACACCTCACAAACACTAACTACATCATAAATATATTCATTTACAACAACCTACCCGATACTCAATTTACTCAAAATTATCAAGTCAAACCTTGGTAATGATACATACTAACTACATCAGTTTTAATCTCGTTAAGATTTAATTTAAACTAATTAACACAAAAACGAGTTAATTGAACGAACTGATAGTTAACCTCGTCAATCTCATTTTGATTAAAAATGGTGTACAGGGCTTTTCAAAAGTTAGATTGGTGAGATATCACTAACGATTTCAAGCTTAGCTGATATTCAAGAAAACATTGGTTGGTAGCACTTGTAAACAGTAGACCAAACAAACACAAACAATTTCAGTTTAAGACGTCAATTATTCTAAGATATTTTCTATGCATACCGGTAGAATGATGGGTCTTGTTTACGCTTTGAAACCTAGAGTGCTCCAAGCTAGGTTTCTGATTTTAGACGTAAAATACACATTTACCTTTCCACTAAGTAGGAATTTAGTCGTTAATTTTGGTTCCGTCTTAGGCTTCTGAGGCTGGATTATTTCCATAAGAGAAATTTGAATTTCTGTAGTGCTGGAAGTCCTATGACACGTATTTCCCATCACAATAGCTCATTGTTTATTTCAGTGTGTTTGTCAATACAAAATTCTAGTTAGTGTCAACAATGTAGATAAGAAAGCTACTATCCCGATGTTTCTGAAACTCGGAAATTCGATATCAACCATCCGGAGTATTTTTAATTGAAATATTAGTTTTGTTCACTAGTCTGCTCTTAACAATGCCTTTACTAGCTTCCGTGGCGTTTACCTTTCCATTTTATGATTTCTAAATTCAATTACTGAACCAAAAAGCAAGAAAATTACTGTTTTTGATCTAGTAATTCGTGTACGCTTATGTCTGCTCTCACAGTAGGTCGAGATTTAAACACTACGCAACCCATGAATCTGTAAGCTTTTCTATGAGAATAATCCTTTTAAAGAGCTTGCAAAAATCAAGGTTTTATCATAATCAATGTACGATCAAAGCCATATTAATAGGACTCCTCCGTACCAGTGATAACTAATTGTCAAATAATCATGTTCGATTTAGTTTCATGAGGAAATAAAGTATACAAATGTTGTAGTTACGCTAATCTGTTCGTTAATTAATGGTCACGGACTTTCTATAATTTTTTAGATAAAATTGTAGTGTTGTTTTCAGCTAGTCTGGTTATTCAAATTCCTATCAAAGCCTTAAAGGATTAATCTACTAGCATTTACGTGACAGTTGTTCATACAGCTTTGCATCTGCATGGAAAAAGAATCTTAGTTATTTTGCCATTAACCTTCACAAAAGAGGTTTATATGCTAGTATGCAAACTTTAATGTTGTCTCTAGATTGAATAGTCAAGTACGGGTATTAACTCTGGAACTCTATTCGACAATATCTCTTACCGAAGAATCCTACTTAATAGAAGTGAGTGGCAAAACACTTGTATGGAGCTTTTGTGGCATTATTGAGTCTTTCGACCATACATTACCGATTGTTTTGATACGCTGTTCTTAACGTTCATCCAGAGCATTAAAGAATGGGGTCTGCGCTTTTATAGCCAAGAGCTCAGCTATTTTTCATGACTTCTAAACATGCAACAACGAGCTAAATTACACATACGACGGCTATATTTTAAAGTATTGGGTTAGTAACGCTCACCTACCATACCATGATGAATGCATGAGTTAAAGGCATCATACAGATTATATATGTTACGTCCATTACCTTTACAGTGGTTGGCGACGTCTTTCAGACACACCATCTTGTAAAACTAAACAGTATTTCAGACTGCTTGGCCAAAATCCATAGTAGGGAAGAATATATACTGTATTTGATTGTAAGCTATTTTCAGTAACACTTCACAAACTTCTAAAAGCACAAGGATATTCATCAAAACATGATGTCATAACACACAAAGTAGGATATTTTTCTGTTCTAAATCGTGGTTGCCGTAGGTTTCAGTGGATTTTTTTGTCTAGGTAAAATCGCAAACCACAGTACCCGCAAGTATGATTACCTGGTTGGTCCTAAAATAGTTAGAGAAACACAGTAAGCATTCCTAGAATTGAAATGAATCATATGTTATGGTGATAAAAACGTGAACGTTATTCTAGTTCCAGCATAACAACGAGTAGTATTTACTTTCGTACGGTGATCTAAGTAACGCAGATCGTCAATGAGTCATAAGCAAAACATAACCTGGGACATATGTTCGTCGGTGATCACATCGCACTAGTGCAGCAGTACAAAATTACAAAGACAAATGCCAGAGTAGTAGAATTAGGAACAATATCGATAGCAGACAGGACAAGATAGAGGGATGATTCGGAAATAATGATTATGTGAAATAAGAAGTATTGTGATGTGTGCTACTTATATCAACATAAGTAGCATATGACGGGAACAGAATGTCTGGCAGCACAAAGACAAGATCGAACAGTAAAGAATGGAAACAATGCAATTTGTGCGAAAATGCAGGATCAATGAAGTTTGAGTCGATTCGAGACAACTGATGGACATTTTGCTAATTAAGCATTTACTGTATGATTGTTAGATTTTATTAAAAAGTCCTGTAATTTTGTGTCAAATACATTCGATTGTCTCCACTGGTGTTCTGTTCACTATAGTATTACTTAGTTTCATAAATCAAAATCTAACGGAAGGCGAGAGTTGAATACGACTGTGCCAATGGAATCGATTTTGAGCGGTGTAACACGTTTCCAACCATTAATTACGATAATCGCGAGAGCCCAAAACTTATATCCTGTACATACCAACACAGCCTAATCCGCTAGTCAACGGCTCTATGAACATTTAGAAGGGGAAAACGCATCCCAAACATTCTGGCATTGTTGCTCAATTCTACCAAAAGACTGCATTCTATCAGCGTCTTCAACAAACAGGACTACGTCATCTGCGTATTCTAAGTCGATAAGTGGACCTCCTCGTAGGAGACCAATGCCTGAAAATTCAGACGACGAGAACGTTATTTCCATCAGTAGGTCGATGATGGAGTCAAACAAAAATGGAGAAAGTGGTCCGCCTTGTCGGACACCACTTGTGGTTGAGAAATCAGATTACAGTTTACCATAGGCTCTGACTCGACTAGTAGTGTTCAAGTAAACAGCCTTCACAAGGTTTATGTACTTCTGAGGTACGCATTTCAATGACAAACACTGCCACAGGATCTCGCGGTCTACGGAATCAAATGCTGCTTTTAAGTCAAGGAAGACCACCATTGTCGGACGCCGATAAGTATGCCTGTGTACTAGAACCTGACAAATGATAAATATGTGGTCGGTGCAGCCACGACCACGTCTGAATCCAGGCTGAGTTTCTCGTGTTTGCAGTTCACATGTCTTTGTTAGGCCCCCGATAATTATCGAGGCCAGTAATTGAGATGCTACGTCAGTCAAACTAATCCCTCTATGATTATCACAGGATGGTTTTGACCCCTTTTTATATATCAGGACAATCAGTAATTGCGACCAGTCAGATGAAATCACGTCCAACTCCCAGGTCTTTTTGAATTATTGATCAACCTAATCGCTAAAGCTGGACCACCGTACTTAAAGACCTCTGGAGCCAATCCATCTGGACCAGCTGCTCTTCCTCGCTCCAGATTAGCTGCGGCTTTTTGTACTTCAATTAGAGTCGGGGGGGCTACTTCAATGTTCCATTCAGACTGTTTGGGAATGGTGGTAGAGTAACTAAAAGCCAGTTAAACTGCTCCTCAAAGTGCTCCGCCCATCGTTCTAAGCGTCTGGGCTGAGAGCAGATAAGTGTCGTCTTTTTCCGAAATTACTATGAAGGACAATCGGAAAGGGATCAAAGAAGCACTAAATTCAACGTAACAGGTTCTGGGCCGCAATAAGCATCGCCATGAGGTCTGCTATCGGTACTAGGAAATGTTTACAACAGAGGATTGCTGAACCTGGTGAAAGATTAAACAGACACACAGATTCGAGATCAACAAACCGGAATCCGTAAGGATCAGTCCTGTACAGACCAAGTCGCCACACTATGGATCATTATCGAGCAATCAATTTAGTTATATTCGTCACTATACATAAACTTTCTTGACTGTGGTAAAGCGTTTGACAGTGTGGATAGGCGAACCGTATAGAAACTTCTTCGACACTATGGCATACCTGTTAAGATCGTGAAACATCACCCGAGATTCACACGACGGACTACACTGCAAGGTTGTATATGCAGGGCAGCTCACAGGCACATTCCAATTGAGAACCGGAGTCAGACAAGGCGACTTAATCTCCTCCTTGCTCTTTCTTCTGGTTGTTGACTGCATTATGAAGACCTCCACATCTGACGGGAAGCACAGAATACAATGGACAGCTTGGGATGAGCTAGACGATTTGGACTTCGCAGACGATCAGGCCCTTCTATCCGATACACACGAACAAATGCAGGTCAAGACAAACAGTGTAGCAGAAGCCGCTGCATCAATAGACCTCAACATACACAAGGGAAGGCAAAATCCTGAAATAAAACACGGAGAACACCAACCCAATCACACTTGATGGAGACACTTTGGAAGAGTTGGAAACCTTCACATACCTGGACAGCATCATCGATGAACAAGGAGGATCCGATGCAGACGTAAGGGCGAGAATTAACAAAGCGAGGGCCGCATTCCTACACTTGAAGAACATATGGAACTCAAAACAACTGTCAACTAATATCAAAGTCAGAATCTTCAATACGAATGTCAAGACAGCTCTACTGTACGGAGCTGAAACTTCGATAGCTACCACAACCATCATCAAAATGGTACAAGTATTCACAAACAGCTGTCTGTGCAAAATATTCCAGATCCGTTGGTCGAATACAATCAGCAACAGCCTACCGTGGAAAAAACAAACCAGCTTCGAACTGAAGAGGAAATTAGGAAAAAACTCTGGAAGTGGATAGGTCATACATTGAGGAAAACATCAAACTGAATCGCGAAGCAAGCATCAACTTGGAATCCTGAAGGCTAAAGGGAAAAATAAAGGCCAAGGAACAAACTGTGTCGGGAATCGGAAGCGGACATCAAAAGAATGAATAGCAACTGGAAAGGATTTCCCAGGGTAGAGTTTGATAGAGAATGCTGGTGGGTGATCTATGCTTCTGCACGAGGGGTAACAGGTTTAAGTAAGTAGTATAGCCAAGTGATCACAGACTAAATGGTAAAACCAGACTAGTTAGACGAGATATCCATGCAAACGCTTATTATGCAACTAGACGGTTGATATTGACTTACCAAGTTGATGTATACTTTAGGATGCCCAAGTGCACCACCACCACCGTCGCAACTGATTATATTTTCTTTGCAAGCGATCGGGAGAACCTCTTCTATCAGCTTTTCTGCGAATTGCTTATTGACCTATTGCATGAGACAGACAAAAGGCAAGACAAATTGTAATACATAGCAATATGTGTCAAATTGAAAATTAAGACAAGTAATAACGTTCGTCGAAGCAAGAAGTAGGGTGATCATCTATTTATTCGACTAAAGTGAACTTTATAGATAAATCTCTTGTAAACTCGTTTAAGCAGCCACTTCAAAAAGCTTTAAATTTAGCCTTAATAATACATTACCATAATCTTACTACCCACTTAGGAAATGAAAGAACTTGCCAATCCATGAGTGGTTGCCAGAAAAATGTTTTTAAACTATCTATGGACCCTTATTCGATGAGTTTAGCCTTCGAGAAAACCCCATAGTAAGAGATATGAATGCTACCACTCAAAACTAAAGTGGGACTATTATCACTTGCTGCAACTGCGTTATAGACTCATCACTTTTGAACACTACATCATAAGTGCAGTCAACCATACAACACCACTAAGTAAAGAATAAGCGAGTGCCGAAGATTTCGAGCATTATGATGAGTCATACCAATCGTACCTCAAAAAACCAACATTTCGTGTCATATTTTATTTAATTTCGTCGTTTGCATTTGATTTAGCTCAATACACTGATCTATTGATATTCCCTTCAGACCTGAGATTTTACCGAGCAATTTAATGTCCTCGTACCAACTTGAAGATCTACATAGTACTTGTTTTTCAACAGCGAACACAAGCGCACGAAAAGCACAGCTTCTGATAGCCGAACCATGGCGATATGGACCTATTTCCGCAAGCAAGTAAGGTCAAGCTGATAACCATGATTTGAAATTACTTAAAAAGACCTGGATTTTTCGACATTCACAGGTATATATATAAACCACTTGTTATATTGAATTTCCGGCAGTAAACATAAGGACTCGGTCGTAAAAACAGCCGAAAACGGGGTGGTTTCACTTTAGAAACTTAAAAACGAAACCAAGCAGTGAAAAAGAAGAATCTTACCAACTTATCACCGATAGTAAATCTTGCAACTGATGGGTCATTTAGCGAGAACGTCTAATCATTAATAGATAAGTACGGATAAACATTAAACCTGGCCAGTATGTGTTACTGTTGATGCACTTTCCGTACTGTATAATCTATATCTTAAGTAAACTGGAAGACGCAAGAATCTGACTGCACTAAGCGCCATAGCAAAAACGTTTAAACTTGACCGCGCTATTGTTACGACCTGGTACGCTGCAAATGATATTGGAGGGCTTCAGGTTGCTTGCATGTGTTTATGTTGGCATAGTTCTTCTGTGTTTGTGTCTTAATGTAGTCTGTTGATGTCCTTAACAACATCATATACTAAATTCTTATCCAATATTTAGTATTAGTTGCTACTATGCAACATTTTCTGGAAAATATCGGTTGAATAATATTGTTGGACAGTTTATTATAGCCTGGTAAGCGAATTATCCTACTAAATAACCATACACGATTCTACGGATTGATAATCTGTGTAACATATTGTTCCGTTCAAAGTAGATGACTGACATTCAGTTAGTTTGAAGTCGTCATCTTCCATTAATGTCACTAGCACCTTATGCAATGCGGTTAATGAAGTTGCTTCACAATAATCGATTTTTTGTTTTGCATTCTATTAACGCAACCCTATTTATTGTGCTTCAAGTTCGAGAAATCCGTCGGTCGACCCCATTGATGCATTTGGGCATATCATGCTGAACACATGGTTTGTGAGCTTAGCGTAATTCAAGACAGCGTCAAATGATGTTCAGCACGTAGTAGAAACATGATCTTATATGTTTTAGATTACTCATACTCACTATGTACATATAGGGAGTTGCTAGTTAAGTGAAACTGAACTCAATTATACATCTGTTGTTTTCAAGTGTACGTACGGTAAAAATGTAAACTACTAGGTCTAGGGGCAATTAAGAAACTGTGAGGAATGTATATCCGAAGTGACGTTTTAGGTCTAAGTCTATGAAATGTCAGTCAACACTGTGTTATTCTACAAGACGGGTATGTGATGAAGTCATCCCGGATGAAACAATCGTCGTTGTGAAAATTTCTGGATGGGTTGTGGTTCATAGATGAGGTAACTGGCTTCAGAGGCTAAGGGAAATCTCGAGCCAGTACTGTAGCGTCAGTCACTATGCCAAGCCCACATAACTTATTCTAGCATCCGTACAGGCCACTTTATCCATTCTTCTTGAGCCACATTTTGACCTTGGTAATCATTCACGTATCAACACTGACTGTTTTTATATGAACATATATGTGTGTATATCTTATCTTACTCATCGCATGTCCGTGGCTTATTTTTGTGTGACTATAAATATTGATTAACGCTTGATTAAATCGACTTCGCTTAAATGCCTTCTCCACTGCTCGTCACTTCGTTTCATTCACTTTTCTTCGGTTCTTTCGCTCCGTTTTCCTGATTGTCTGTTCAGGTCAATAATTGAATGAGATATACGCATCGAAACTTCATTCTCATATTTGGCTTATTTAATTCCGTTATTCACTAACACTAGTTCTACTCATTGGGATATTACAAATATATTATTTATTCATAACGATCTACCCAATGCTCAACTTATACTCAACTTATCGAAACGATACCTACTTCGATAACAATCACACATACGATCTAACTGGAGTCATATATGACGCCACTAAAGTGTTGACCTGATCACTATCTCTAGATCGGGTGGTCAAACGTGTTACAGGGCAGAACGATTAGGGAGTCACCGTAACTGATTTGGATATAATGAAAGATCAGATGTCCTCAGGTAAGTATGTACACTTTTATCTCCAAACTGTGGCACTAAAATGAAGCCTTCCATTTGCTATGACAAGTAGGTGGAGTGAGAGGATTCTCTTTCATATATGGGCTCCTAACTGAAATCTACTTTTGTAGTCATGATCAGGTTGCTTTAGATAAACGATATTCAGAAACAGTCTACGAATTCTACTCACCGTACCAACATCAAGAAGTCAAGATGCTCTTTGATAACTTCTAGTTTGTAGGTATTCGTCGTTTAAGTTTGTGATAACTGATAGCTTTAGGAGCAGTCGTCCCATTTTTTATCTGTATGGACACAGGTAAAAATGAGAGTCTATTCTATCTGGATATTAGGTCGACGATAGATTTGGTGAAACTCGTGCACTGTCTGTTGAACAAAAGGTCATCAGTTGTTATTGGAAAGCCCTAGACAGCAAAGTAAGAAACTCGCTTGGTCAATTCATGAACGTTAGATTACCACTTCCTCATTTTATGAACATTTACTCGATCATATACGCAGTACTGAAAATTTCTTCAGCCAACGGTTAGTGCTATTTAATATCACGCCATATTGCTAATTTGTTCTTATTGGTGTTATTTACTTGTAATAATGTGCAATTAAACTATTCCTTGCAAACAATATTCATTTTAAATGTCATAGTAGTTGCAGCAATACGGAAAATTAGACCAGTATTGCCTCCCCCTTACGTTGGAATAGGGTTCTCATGTAAAGTAGATCATTAGGCGGAGTATACTGGCTGATGAGTACTATGAAAATAACAACAGGTGCATCCAAGCACTCCGTTGATTTCATGATGTTTAATAGCGATGAACACAGTTTTATTTAAATATAAGGATAAAGAAGCGTGTACACGGTAATTGTTAAATTTAGTTTTACTCCATTCGTATATCGCTCTCATATACGTTATCCTGAATACTTTAATTATTGCCTATACTGGTTAATCAACGGTGATTACTAGCAGGCTGCCATTATACCCGCTTCGTTGAAGACCGGATTAGATTCGTAAAATAAGGTAATATCTGTAAGTGCAATAACATGCGATTCCGGAAACTGCTTAGTTTAGTTGTCAGGAAAATGTCTAGTGATATTTATGAAGCCGCAACTTCCCGAAATCTTCCAGTCGATGTAAGCGAACATTTTGGACGACTGATGATGGACAAATTTTGTTTCGAGATTATTACGAGAAGGTACTTGGTTAATTTCAACATGTACGATAATGATCTACTGGAGAAGAATATTTAATAGTATAATAAAAATTTGCCTCACAGCTTCATCACTCTGTCTTCAGTAATCGACTAGTAAGCATCAATATTCATTTTCATAGTTGATCACATTTACGAGTTGGTTAGTGATCAGAAGTAATGAAGTATTTAGAAGTCTAACAGTACTCACAAGTGAGCTTGACTGACGGTGTCTCATCATTTCTTTGACATTTGGCTAATTTGATAAACGTGATGAAAAAAAATTCGAAAACCTCGAAGACTGATCAAAAAACACAAAATTGTTGAAGTGAATATTATAAAATGTGAATCTTAGGCATAAAATTCACAAAACGTTACGTCAGACTGCTGAATTCAATTCATATATCTCATGTATTCTCTCTAATTTACCTGGAGTTATATCACTATGTTTACGGACCATTTGTACTGACAGAAATTCTGTTATTTCAAAGTGCCTGTGATCTCTGTTCTATTCACACTTATGCATGATTGACAGCTGGATGGAACTAGTTTTTTTGTTTTGCCCTATCAAAACGCCATGCAGTCGTGTTTGTCTGTCCTCTCCGGTGAAGCTTGTATCAGCATTTTATATTGTTTCACGAGTGTCTTTATTCCGTGAGGTGAGTGCTTGACTGAGCAACAGAGCTCTGACCATTATAATTAATAGCAGAACATTTCTTGTAATTCCCTACTACTGATATAATTCGTACTCAGATTCTGCAATCTACAACAATTTTGTGAACTGCTTATAATCTAAGCCGATTAAGCATCAATAAAGATATGGGATCGGTACATCGGCTGTGTTCAGCTATTAATCGGAAGTACTCGAGAATTACTAAGTCATGACTTAATGTTCACAGATCAATGTTACTATATTGTCAAGTGAAGTCACTTGAACGGTAATCGCATTCCAAAAATTTTCGAAATGATTGATGGAACAACATCCACCTTCCTTCAGATAAACAGAGTATTACCCCAAGGAGAAAACTGTGTTTATGCTTCTAGCTTCGAGACAACGAAAGGAAGTTTAAACTGCATCTATAGGATGCTAGTATGAAATACGTGATTTATGAACAGATTATTCACATGTCACGTTAGTATCATATAAAGATTCCGTTCTTGTAATGTGAGACATAAAAAAAATTCAAATAGCTTAATATACAACTTGGAGGTTTGCGTAATAAATGAAACCCGCTGGCTTCAAGATGAACCGAAATAAATAACTTCGGGAGAGATACTGTTGTATTGTAGTCACAAAGAAGGAAATGATTTGCACACAAAAGAAGTTTCAATAATGTTATGCGAAGAAGTGCGAAAATTGCTTATAGGATGGGAATCTCATAGATCATCAAATCATCCTGCAAAACAAAGAGGGGATTAAAATTAATGTCATTCAGTGCAATGTGCTCACCAAAGATGACAGCCCAAATAATAAATGTTAGTTTTATGGAGCTGCAGTTCACTCTACAAAAGTGCTCAGAATAGGACCAGATCATCCTGATGGGAGACTTAGACTCGGAATGGACAACACTGGGTAAGAAGATATCATGGAACAACATGGACTGTGAGGAAGGAACGAGAATGGTGAGGGATTTGTTTTCAACAATATGGCTACAAGTGGCACCATTCAACCCTACACATGTTTACACAAGGCAGCATGAGTTTCACTGGACCACATTACAGAGAATCAGGTCGATAGTAATTGCATCAATGAAAAACTCGAAAGGTTCATGGGAGATGTGAGAACCAGGGGCTAACAGCTTTAGATCACCATTCGATTGTGACTCCCAAGATCAAACTGAAGCCAAAGAAGCACTAGACAACTGGGAAAACAGCATTAAAATGGTTCAATACAGCCTTCCTTCGACATACTGACAAACTCAACGAATTCAAAATAGGTCTCAACAACAGGTTCCAAGCCTTGCACGATCTACTGAGGGAAGAAGAAATTACTATGAAGGACAATCGGAAAGGGATCAAAGAAGCACTGAGTTCAACGTAACACGAGGTTCTGGGCCGCAACAAGCATCATCATGATGAGTAGATCTCTATCGAAACTCTGGGTAACATTCGAGAAAGGAAGAACAAAATGTTAGGAACTAACAACAGCCGAACAATTAGAGAGAAGTTCAAGGCAGAGAGGCAAACAACGGTGCGGAGTAGCGTTAGAAGTGATAAGTGAAAATATATGGAAGACTGCCGTGTTAACAGAAA